ACAAGCTGATTATCTAAGAACTTAAATATTCTTTTTTCTTTCAGTAGATAATTGGTATTTCATTCAAATGGGAGCGAGCAATAAGTAAGGATGAGCTGATTTCCAGAAAAGTCAAGCTTTGTTATTTTCTTTTCCTTGCTCTTTTTACTTTTTTAAAATAAAATAAAAAACAGGTGGAACTTATGCAATGTTCATTAAAATTTACGTACCTTTTGAGTATTATCAGTTGACTATAACTACCTGTTGAACCCGTGTTTTGTGCTCTTGTTGAAAAATCATATGAATTAAATGACTATGAAATTGAAAGGATCTATTTATTTTGTGTTGACATTCAATCCTCTATACTTGCTATATGAAATATACAATTTTTTGAGCTTTATTTGTTACAAATACACAATGTTTCCTCATTTATGCCCGTAGCAGTTGAATGCGTTTGTCAAAAGCATGTGTTTTGTCACATTTGTTCGACCTCATAATTGTACTTAAATTGTTTCACTGTCTTCAGATGCAGTATGAACACATTGGTTTATAATGTAGTTTTTCCTGATAGATTATCAATTTGTTATTTATTTATTTCTTGATGCAAGTTTACCGTTTGTGATGAGCCTGGCAATTGAAATCTCTATTTTCCATTTTCCTATAACATAATAGTTATTTCTTAGATTTGTGCAATAGTCATGATGTAATGCTTCATCTCATGGAATTGTATACAATGTTAGGGAACAAGAAGTGTACAAGAACCTAACAAAGGATAATGATTGGAGACGCCCTCCTGTTGAGGAGGTTGAACTACTAACAGAAAATGCTTCGGATTCCAACATTTCATTCATGTCTTGCAGAATAATGGATCTGTTTTTTTAATTAGTATTTTGACTTCTTCCTTTTTTTACCAGGTGCTGGCAAAATTGACCACTAATTTTTTTAAAGTACATTCCAGGCAGTGCATAGATGAGGCTGAACTTGCTGAACACATTGTTGGTTTGACGTGCAACCTCTCATCCTGCCAATTTAGGTGTTTGATCCATTTGTTTTTCTAATGAACTTAAAACCTAATAACAGTTTGAGAATGCTTTAAAACACATATCCCAGGGAAGACAGGTTTTCTAGTCTCAAGATTTGATATATGCATCTACATTGTACACTTTTCTTTTTTGTTTAAGACTTGTACGAGTTTCACATAGCTTCACCCAGTTTTTGAACATTGAAATTCAGTTTTCGCTCTGGTTTAATATTAACTAGAAATAGTTGTGTTTTCAGTAAAGTTTTTATTTCTATGTAAAAAGGACAAATTCTCTCTCTCTCTCTCTCTCTCTCTGCATTTTCATATTTTAACTGGTTACTGTTCTGATTCTACCTTTCCTTTATGAAATTGCAGAAAGAAGTTAACGAGACTGGACGTAAATGCTAATGGACCTCTTATGATTAAGGACTGTGTTGACCGGAATTTAATTAATAAGAGCGCATGGTGAGTAGTATGATGTTAATAGATAGAGACCATGGATAAGATGAAGCTTTCTTCTACGGGTCTGAACTGAACTGCTTAATCATTGTTCCTGGCACCAAGAGTAGCTGTAGTATCAACATATATTTTAATCATGTCCTGTGGTTGTGTGGTTCTACTTGATATTTCATCTGATGTACTTTCTTATTTCCTTGAGGGGCATTTGAATCCTTGACTTCACTTTTTGGGATCAAAGAGTCCCAATCCAGCTTTTATGACCCTGTGTTGCAAGGAGCACTATTTAAGTTTCAGGAGATCTAGATATAGGCTGATGAGTTTCCTTTGTGACTCTGTCTATTTGACAAGGGTTTGATATGACAGGAAGGACAAGGGGAACCGTGATGAAAGTGAGAGGGTTGAGAGAAACCTACAAGCCTAGTTGTCTAGTTAGTTGGGACAATCTATCCTTCCTACAAGCCCTTCTCCAACCACTGCCTTGAAAGAACCATGGCCCCCTCAACTAAAATTGGATTTCCAGAATTCCACATATATTTATGAATTGAATTTCAATTAATCTCCCAAACCCTAGCATGGCTTAGTTTCACTCAGTCTTTTTCTTTCTCCCTATTAGTGTTCTCAACTACAGATGTCAAATCACTTTTAGCAGACATCAGGAAAATATGTTGTTCAACAAGCCTTCTCTGTACAAAATACAAATTAATTTGGTTTGTCTGTTTTACACAAGTTTTTCATTACTCTGCAGGGATTTTTATTTTATACCTAATACTAGTTTCTGCATCCAGGTTAAAAGCTTTGGTAGCTATCCCAAAGGTACAGCCACGGTTTGCTATTGCTATATGGAAGAAGTACCCTACCATGAAATCTCTGTTGAGTGTTTACATGGATCAAAATATGTTGGTAAGTATAATATGCTTCAACCTGCCTGAAATATAAATGAACATTTGTTGATTGATCTAACACTGTCTTCATTAGACCCATATGCAATTCAATTTAGGCGCATTTGGTTTCCCAGGAAGAAGTGAACGGATTTATGGCTATTGACAAGTCACAGATACATATTATCTTGGAATACAGTTTTCTAGAACGTTTTGCTCATCAACCTAATGGGATGATATTTGACAAGTTTTGGAACCATTTTATAAATTTACATTAGTTCAGTTGATTGCTGCTATGGTCTGCAACGGCCTCCATTTTGATGATGAATTCTTTGTGAACTGCAGTGCTAACATCTAGTTTCCTTAGGTGTCTAAACACACCCTTTTTGTGTTTTTCCGACATTAAATATATATTATAATGTTTCTCTTTTGCCCTTTTCATTTTCCATGGAAACTAGATAGAAACCTTCCTTAATAAGTTAAAAGTGTGAACATACTGCAGGTCCTGTAGGAATCTCAAGGGCTTGTTTTGGAGATGTGACAGAGGAGCAGCATCTACAAGTCTCCCTCTCCAGGAGTACTTGGGCCCCGCTTGTCACCTATGCTAGGGTTCTAATTAGTTTGGGATTTAGGATATGTTTATTGTCTTTTATTTGTTTTGCTTAGGGTTTTATGTTTTATGTTATGTGATAGATGATACTTACAGTCCTAGTGTTTTCAGTTAGTAGCCGGGTTAGTTTTTAAAAAGAATAGGCTAAGATTTATTAGGTACTTTCATAATTAAGGCTAGCAGGCTAGGGGTGCTGTAATCCTAGTATAAATAGCCTATTAAGAGACTTTGTATTCGAGTTTTATTAATTTAATTCCAGAAATCATATTATAGAATTCTTGTAAGAGTTGCTTTGCCCTAGAACTCTTATTTTCATTCGAACTGCAATTTTATTGCTTTATTTCACTATTTTTCGGCTGTTCACCACTGGGAATTTTTTTTCTGCTGTGATTTGACACTGTATAGCCAGGAGCTTAGTATCTTTTTCTGGTATTTGCTGAAACTGAAAGAAATTTTCCACCCTGAAATTCCGACTAGCTGATCTTGTTTTATTTATGAAACCAACTTGTTGATCTTGTCCACCATTAAAACAGTGAAAATCAAGTTCCACACACTTCGGGGTGTAGGATTGTTGTGATCCATTTAAATGGGCCCCCTTAGTGTTGCTATTCCCATGTCATTAACCATGAACATATTTGAGTGCTTCATGATCACAGATAGTTCCAATCTTGCTATGCTCTAATACCACTTTATAGGATCCATGGACAGAGTTTCCCTTGCAAACTGGCTTGCAAGGAAAGACTGCCCAAAGATGCCCGACTTTTCCAATGTGGGGGGATACTGGGATCTTGTCATTGTCACTATCCCCCCTTTTACCGAACCAGTTTGAAGGGATTTGTCCAACTTTAGGTTCAGCTGGTTCTGCTTCCTGAATAGCCATTTATGGTTTGTGCAATGCAGATGACTACTGAGAAATATGTCTAATGACTAATCACCATTTACGCAGTACAGCCATGAAATTCCACTACATGTTAATTAGAATTATGATATGCCCGTTTTATGTCACTGTGCACCAAGTTGCTTTGTTTGCCTCTGTAAATTATAATGATGTATAATTTTGTTCTTTGACCGAGTTAATTGATGCCTGTAAAAGTACACTGATTTGGAGGGTTAACTGGCAAGGTATATTTAGTTGGATTTGTATTCTCCTAATGCTTAGTGCTTTTGCAATATGCATTGATATAAGATAGATATTTGATTACATATATCTGTGTGTATATACCATTTTTCACAAGGCATACTTGCATTCAGCAGCTTGTACATTGCTATATCAAGGCAGAATTCAACACTTTTTTGTAGATTCTATTTACTTTGTTTTTTTTTTTCCTTTCTATTTTCTTGGTTGCTCTATATTGAAATGACAGGTTCATCAAAAGGAATTTCTGCTGAAGGACTTGGTAACTGAAGGTTTACTTCGCGATGACAGAAGAGTGGGTGAGGTTTGTTCCAAGAGAGTGTACAGAATACTTATGGCACAAAGTGGATCCATTAAAACTGATGATGTTGAGGATGGTGCGGATTTGTTTAGGCATCAACTGGCTTAAATAACTCCAGATTTGTCTATTACTTGTATTCTGCGGTAGCGCTTTGATTCCTTTGTGGTAAATGTTATTTTCAGAGCCTTAAGTAGTAGTTCTTGCTGTGTAAAGTATAACTCATTAATGTCAAGAAAAAATGTAAATATTCTTGCGGTTTTGGTATATCAAAGGGAAGAGAATTCAGACTTAGCACCTCGTCGAATATTGGGAAAGGAGGTACCACTCATCAAGAGCTAGTTTGTTACAGTTGTAGACGAAATAGATCCATACTTTTGTGACAATGATGTAAATGCAACATATTACTATGACTATTTAAAAACCAAAGAAAACATTTGCGACGTGTGCTTGGCTGTATCACCTATTAATGGAAGTGAGTCTCCCAGTGGAGTAGATGTGCAGGTGACAATAGCTAAGCCTAAGACACAAGCAAATATATATCAGGTAATTTTGTGTCACGAATAGTATACCAAACGCATCATTTTAGTCCATATTCTTCATATTAGATATGTCATTCCTGTCGTCTTACCCATTCAATCACTCCATTAAAAAATATGTGTCCTGAATCGAACCGATCGGTGCTCATGCTTATTTTCACTGCAGGATAATAAGTTCCATGCATTGGGTACAATTGATAGCACAAATGCGAAAATCACAATAGTTGAAGTAATTTGAACTATAGATGCAAATAGTCAAAGCTTTTCATTCAAAACCGAAAACTTTGGGGCACAACCGAGTATTTCACCCTTGGTGTCGACACTCCTCAACCATGAAGGAAAATCATTTGTAGGAAGAAAAAGGCAACCATTTCGGCACGCACTCCATCCCTACAC